TTCTGTTTCCGCTATAACAACATATACTAAAAAACAGATTAAAAAAATTTACTGGGGCTCCCATATAACAGACGTATTTTTGCCGTTTTCATAGATAATGGTACGGAACCCTTTGTGCGTGAGACCGACTCTTAAAAACACGCACTATAGGGGTTCGAAACTTCACACAAATATTGGTCTGGACGTACGATGGCCGGTAATGGGTAAAACAAAATTCAATTTAGAGGGAACGTCATTGAAACCAATTAACGTATGTATTTTAATGACCGAGAGTAGGTACGTGGAAATGGCATTGTTGCTCGCATCGTTTTCATAAACCCCACAGCGGGCGGGGTTGGGGGTTAGTTTGCACGTGCCGCGTGCACACTGGCGATTTTAGTGAGATGCGCGTTATGAAACGAATATAATGTAATTTTTGAGGTTATACTTCATAGGGCGCGTTATGAAAAGATATGAGAGTGAAATTTTAATATGCGCGCGTATGATTGTAACACAAAAGTCACACCTTGAAGCTGTCCGCTTAATTTTTTATAGATGGCGGCATATTCTCAATCACATTCGCCCATTACAGCTCTCGATAAAGAATGTAGATGGCGATTTCATATTTTTTTATTTTTATTCCCTTATACCCTTTTCTAATCTTTTTATTATTTTGTTGTAATGAATTATTTGTATTCAATTAAAAACGATTTTTAATGATGCCAAAGAAGTGTACTCGCACTCATTTGTTTTATTATATTAAACCTGGACACTTAGGCTCAGCAGTTTTAACGATGCCCATTCGGGCAAGTCTGTCCGAGATAGAACCACGACCTCACAGAAGACCGGCGTGAAGTGCAAGTGTTATACTTCTGCGTCTCGTCTGGTTGGTGACGTTACCGGGGCCCACTTTATTGAAAGGTGGCAACGGATCTGCAATCATACTGGTGTTGCAAATTTCATAGGCGGTTATCCCTTAATATCGAATCAACAAGCTCGCTCGCAACCTTTTCAAATAAAAAATAATATCCAATTATCTTTTTACGTTTAAATGAAATCGTGAATTTCTTCTAGTTCTATAATTCTCGTCTAGATAACCTTTTAACAGTATAATTAGGTTCACTCTCAACAACCGAAACATGCATACGCCGAGAACTTAAGTAGTCAGAAGTAACGCTATCGAAATTTCCTGCTCATTTCTTGCAGTTCGACCTTATCACGTGGTAAGTTTTTCGCCAACCGCCACGTGAGTCTAACGCTGGGAATATATGCCGTTAATATTCCCAATTCCTTCCGCATATTATACATAATTATATTTTTATTTTGAATCGTACTGTTTTACATTTCCTTTTAATACTTCGTACCTTATTAATTTCACTGTTCTTGAGAGTAAAATTTTTTACGATGCGCTCGCACACTGACCCCGCAAATAGCCGACTTGATGCTTGATAATCAATTTAATATTGGGAACCATTAACAACTTTATTGCATTTACCAATAATTTCATATTATTAAATTAACCGTTATAAAATGCACTTAATTTCTTCACGCGAAAGAAGTATAACTTCTTTGATGAGTACATAAGTACACAACTACTTTTTTTTGTCGATTGACTGGTATTATGCGTTTTTGTAAATAAATAAGTGAATAAATTTCTGGAAGACAACCAGATCTCAAAAAATAAATAATACTTAAATAGATATTTCAAGACTTGTTTTACACAGCTTTATCTACATTTTGTTGCTCCTATTATGGATACTAGGTAACTGATAAAAATGCATGAACATACGTTTTATTATAAATAAACACTTATATCGAACCCACACTCCAGTGCAAGAGACAGATACACTATCCACTACGCCGATCGAGTAGTTAAAAATTCCGCTGTCAAGTTTAGCTCTGGTTTTAAGTCAATACCTTCGTACATATGTATAAAACTTTTTTGCTGCCATTAAATACGTCTATCATTAGTCGGATTTCTCTGACGCTAGAATTTTTGTAGGTGTGATAATAGCATGAAGGTATTTGATTTGGTAACTGACTGTAAAAGAATAAAACAAAACACCAATACATGGTACTTTATTTTTTTAGTTGTACCGTTGGCCGTATCTATTAAGTACTTATTTTAAAAAGAAATGGTAATTTTACTTATAACCATCTAAAGGCTAATTGTTGTTTTTGAAAATTCAATAAAAAATAATGTGTAATTTAGGAGAAGAATTTTCAAAAAACCTGTTATAGCCGTTACAGTTGTATTGTGATGATCTGATCATTTTTCACTGATTGAAAAAGAAGAAAAGCATTTTAATTAACGTAACATTAATACGTTCTTAGATGTATTTAAATACAATTGGGTCTGTGTCATACATGTCCGATACACCAAAAGGTATGAACAGCAGAAATAAACAGTTAAGATACTTACTGACAGTTATAGGTTAAGTTATTGTTATATTATTGAATAGATCATTCTGGTCTTTAAGAAGATCATTCTGGTCAATTCAGAGAGTTTAACCATCCATTTGGCAATTAAAATGAAATTTGAAAAGCTATTTGACAGCTGATTAGTTAACATCTACGATGATCAGTGTTTTAGAAACCGGGCGTTAGACATGTATTTTATTTCTGTGGCATAAATGCAAACACGAACAAGTGTATCACACGTTAATTTCGCGTAATCCAATACCGCTTTCAGTACGCACAAATAGCGGTTACATCACAAGGGTGGATATCGAATTCAAACAAAATTACATTAATTTACTTTTAGCGGAATCACAAAATGGCAAACATTGGGGCTTGTTTGAGTTTACCACAGAGCAGGATATAATTAGTTTTGCCCGATTGCTCTGCTCTGTGGATTTTATAGACTATACAATGATATAATTCTCTTCATATAATCGCACCAGGCGTATAATAACATTCTGTGGTAACATAGAACGAATTTGATTTTATTATCGGAAAGTCTTAATTATTGTCTATGCTTTCGGACAGCATTTTTTTTCATCTGAATTATAGATATTGAGATTCAGAATAGAACAACGTTCTATCTGATTTGTAATGTAAAGTATGAATTTAGTTGAAGGGTTTAAAGCTAGAAGAGGACCGAGAAAGATTTGGATATAATAGTGGATATTTAGGGAATAGTTGCCTCCTTTAGTCTCTGTCTTTCGGTTGATGGCGTCCTTGCATTTTGTGATCCTAATGTCATCTCGCTGTCGACCATAGCGAACCATGAAAGTAGACGCGTCGTAGGCTTCAGCTCTCGGCGCTGCTAAATCCACGCTGGGCACTCCCCTGGCGGATGTACGGCCGCTTCCACAGCACAGCTGTGGTGTAATTCCGCTGTACGCGCGGTAGGACTGTCTAGCCTTCTCCTGAGGACAGTACGTACGGCTTCATGGTGGTTAGGTCTCGAGTAGTTCCCACTCATCGATTGCATTAGGCCCCTGGATTTATGTCTCGCGCCAAAGATAACTTTCTTACGCCGACAAGGCTTTAACAGCTGCTTCAGTGGTGTGGAAGTCCAATAATGGAAAACGTATCAAGCCTCAACCGAATTCCTTCCGTAGATTTGATTTTTTTAAACATAAAAAGTAACGTGTTTCGAAGTTAGCTGTTTCTCAAAATTTTCCTCTATAAATCACTTTATTACGCTGTGGTTCGACGGCTTCAAAATAAACCAATTCGTCAAATTACAATATAGATGACGCGCGGAATGCTTTCAAGTGCGAAGGGCAAAATAAAGCCAGGAGATGTACCCAACATCTCCTGGCGCCTAGTTTAGGGTGGCTAAAAAGCAAACAGAAAACAGGACAGTTTTAAAATGACTAACAGAAATAAAATCCGAAGTTTTATCTGCATTAATAACCAGTTTCTGATTTCCAGATCTTATATAATTAGTATTATTTTTCTTAAGAATTTTCATTAACTAGTAGTTTCCAAAGACGGAAGAGAGATATATATTTTTATGTACAACTGATTTTAAGCTTTCAGTCCTTAGACTATTAAAGCTTCATCGAACGCAGAACCGGTGGTCTAGCCGCAGAACCCGCGGGTTTGAGGCCCTCCTCAGTGGGTGGGGCCGCGCATGTACTCATGCGTGCGTTAATTATGCCATGTCGTCTACGTGACCCCGATGGTCTTTGACTTGGCTTGGTATGCTTGGTTGATATGTATATCTATATTCCCAAATTTAGTTCTGCGTTAAAAGAGGCCCATTACAAGTTAAAGTTGACTTAACGAGTTTATTATTACTTAAAAACACAAATCTTGCAAATTGTCTCGAAAATGTCACGTGCCATGGAAACAGTCACCGGCCAGCTGACGCCACGCGTTACGCGCGAACTGACCATCGATCAAGATGGCGCCGGCGCCGGAGAAAAGTGCATGTGAACACATCAACGCCCGCCATTAGCCGGTAACGCACCGTTGCCCCGAAATAGTGATGTGCCATCCACGAACAACGCTCATTCATGCCGCCGATCGGCTCGCTACATTGCCAAATGAATCGAGATAACGCTAACTATGCGGATGGTGCGCCCATCGAAATGCCAATCGCGTGCCAGCTCCGATTAAAGCTACCTGATAGCGTTAATCGTACGTAAATATATGAAAGTATGACGTAGCCGACGCCCACGGCAGAGAACGCCAGCGTGATTTATTGTTATAAGTGGAACAGACTATTTCGAGATGCACAGTTCACAAACCAACAAAGGATGCATTCCATAACTTGAAAATAGATCAATATCGACTTGAAATGGAAAAAGTCACATTTGCTTCAGTAAAACAGTAAGTACTGTAATATTCCATCATTACAACAGAACATGAAACTTTGTAAAAGAACACAGTCGACGCTATCTTGATACTATTTCTTTTGCTTACTTTTTATATTTTTAGATGTGCAACGCTGCGTGAGAAAGAAAAGGAAACGAAAGAGTTAATATTTTTTCAACTAATTTATTACATAAACTTAAAAAATAAAGAAAGTCGTTTGCGGTTATATTAATAGTAATAGTTTAAACCTAAAGAACTTTGAACTTGGGTGGTCCGTAAGACTCGTGGGGGATGCCTTGACTAGTGGAGATTGCGCTCGCGTCGTAGCCGCCGATGGTGCTGGCGGTGGAAGAGACGCTGGAACCGGATGAGCTGTCATAGCCGCTGTCGGAGCCGCCGTCGACAGTCGACACGGCCAACGTCTGACCCTTGGCGCCGTCGTAAACTCCGAACCCGTTCGATGATGATCCAAACGATGACCCGAACGTACCGGACGACCCGCCGGAGTTTGAATCAAATGAAGTGGGGGCACTTGTGACGGAACTAAAGGCACTGGAGCTGCCCAATCCAGAACCAAACGTGGCTGAGCCCAAGGAACTCGATGAATCGAAGTTCGACGATGAACCCTGGTTCTCAGACAAACTGAGGCCTTGTCCGAACGGCCCCGCAGACACGCTTCCTTGATTTGACGCATCAACTGCGGAGTAGCCAACATTAGCGCCACCACCTTTGTTTAGGTCGGACACAATGTCATTGATGACTGCCTGCGAGTCCTGTTTGTTGTTATATTTGATGAAGTACACCTCGGGCTTGGTGGGTGGCTTTTGCTCGATCTTGGGCAGCACAATGTTCTGCGCATCCTCTGGTTTCTTCACGAGCACGTAGACAATGGTCTTCTCTTCGTTCTGCGACTGCACGGGGATGATCTGCGGCGCCTGCGCCGGTGTGGACGGTGCCTTGATGAAGATGATCTTGTAGTGCTTCTGCGGCGGTGGCAAGACGATTGGCTGACGTGATTTCGGCGATTCGGGCTCTTCGGGCGCAGCGTGCACGTAGTAATGCTTGAACACCTGAGCGGGTTGCTGTTGGATCACGTCGTAGTACTGCTGGTACTTGTCGGCGGCGCTGGCTTGGTACTGGCTGGACTGGAACTGGTTGAACGCGGAGTAATCGCCCGTCTGGTAGGTGGGCTGGATGAAACCGCTTTGGAAGAAGTTTTTGTTCGCCTCGGCGCCAGCTGCGGCGCTCGCGGCGTTTCCGGTGCTCTGGAATCCGCTCACGTAGCCGGTGTTCTGGCCGAAGACGGAGCTGAGTTCGCCGCTCGGTAAACCACTGGTCTGTCCAATGCTCGACTGCCCTAAAGTGGACTGCCCAATGCTGGACTGGGCAACGGTCGATTGTCCGAGGCCAGACTGCGTAGCGAAATAGTTGGAGCCAGAACCGAGACCGCCGGCGTATTGGTTGTAGTTGCTGCCGGAGCCTACGCCCAAGCCATTGTTGTAGCCACTGCTTCCAGCACTGCCCTGGTAAGTTGGCACTCCATAGGATGTCTGGGGTACCTTGTAGTGGTAGCCCAGGCCCACATCGCCAGCTACCACACCGATAACAACTGCGAATACCTGTAAAAACAAGGATATTCCTTAATGTAAGTTTCAAAACTAAGAACTAGAGAGGGTTTTCATTCCGCACATATCAATGTAATACTGAAAATGCATTAAATTTTCGATATTTCTATATTTTATTTTGTCATATATGTCACGTATTAATTAAAAATAATTTTCATTATAAAATATTAGCTGATCCGGCAAACGTTGTTTGTGGAATTTCGTAAAATCCGTTCTTAGTTGACCTCTACTCGGGGAAAGGAATATTCCTACCAATTTTCAACTGGCCTTATGGTTCCAGAGATATCGTGAAGATTGAATTATCGGTGTAAATCTCTTATAATATATAGATTCGCATGTCGTGTTTTAAATCACTTATGACTTTATTATTTACTAGTTGTGCGGTTATTTTAATAGTACTAACTGACCCTCTGATTTTATTTATTTGTATAAATATAGATAACATAAGTAAAATTTTAGCATTACAGTTAGTGATCAGTTAGATAGGTGTGTACTAGTAATAACTTTTATACCGTTGTGGAATAGCATATATTTTTTTTAATTTAAAATACGTTTACTATCTTTATCAAAACTCACATAAGATTCAGCGTAAGTAAGAAAAAGATAATCATGAAGTAACTAAATTCGTACACACACATACAGAGCTAGAATTAGACTGGCTAGATTTCGAGCTATCACGAAAACCGATTTAATATTCCTGAGAGAATAATGGTATACAATTTATCGTTCCTACTCGAGATGTTTTAGTTTGCACGCGTGAGAATAATCGACAATATTGTTGTATGGCAGTTAGACATGTCTAAATTTAGAAATGAAATGGTCTCAAGTGCAATTTATTCGAGCATTACGTGTCATCGATAAATCCATTAGAGCATACCAATTCGTTATACCCTATGATAATACCATAATTGCAGTCCAAATATCACAAATTAGTTAAGTCTTTCTTACTACGTTAAATGCGGCACTAGGCCTAAAACACCTCATACAGGTTGCGATTGTAGTGCGCGTTAGAAAAATAGTCTTCTCTGTGATGCGGACGGCGTTATTTCAATTCTATCTAACGTTTGAAAGAGATGAATATACATCAGAAATGTTTTTTTCAAACAGAGTGTTTTGGTATACTCAATACAATACGGGGTTTTTAGACCTAGTACCGCACAGCACAAATCATTTAATAATATAAATCACTTATTTATTATGGACACAAACAAGGTTTAAGCTTCTGATACTCTGCGTAGTCAAATGAAACCCGCACCGTGATTAAATAAAAGGCTTAATACATTTTGCTCCGCGTCAACGGAAAGTATCGATACATATTAAATAAGTAACACTGCAAACGTGTTAAGGACTGTTCACAAATTGACTCGAGATAAAATCGGGAGGACTTATATGGCATAATATTATAAGTCATTTAATTACCATTAATATAGCTCGAATTGTTTACGGATTTTATATCTAGTGTCCTTGTCTCCAGTTCTGTTTACAATAGCGAACACCATACCCCTTCAGACTGGTAATTGTATCCTCTGTAACGTGGTTGCCTGGAAGAAATCGCTACTAAGCGACAGAGCCGCCAATTGTACCCTTATGTAATTTCCGTTACATCTTTATTTTTGTCTGGTACAATAAAATATACTCCAATGATTCATTCATCCATTTTGCTTTTCGGAGTACACGCAAAAGGTCAAGTTGAACCTGTACACCTGTAAGCCTGTCGGTGGGAATCGTTTAATGTACCATCCGCGATGGTAAATCCTACGCTCGAATACATTTGACATAATCTAAGATATAAAATTCTCGTGTCACGGTGTTTGTGTTGAACCCCTCCGAAACGGCTCGATCGGTTTTCGTGAAATTTTGTGTGCATATCGGCCAGGCTGGAGAATCGGACAACATCTACTTTTCATCCTCCTAAATATTGAAAAATAAAAATAAAAATTGGGTGGTCCACCCAAAACAACGTTTGCTGAGACAGCTAGTTAACGTATAAAATGGACACGCGTACATAACATATCCTAATATATATCAACAATTCCGTACCCACGGTAAAAAATATGAAAAATGTTAACTGACAAATACTTTTATCATGAGGTATTAATTCATAAAACATTTTCACGGACACGAAAACCGTCTACATAAAAAAATAAAACATTAGTATCAGTAGCATTCTTAACACAGATCCAGCTGACACGACTCTAATGACACCTAATATTAACGTATAATAATTCGTAAATATATGTATAATATATGTATATATATATATATATATATATATATATATATATATATATATATATATATATATATATATATATATATATATATATAATGTAATGGCTCCATCAAGTATAGCTTGATGATAAATAATTTTTATACCACTAATTAATAAGGGTGGTCCACCCGAAATATTATTTTCTACCCTACAAATATACCTACTTCTGCAACATCTGATAATATCATCAATTTGACTTGTCAAGCTTTTGATAAGTGGGGGAATTCATTAATTTTTGTTACCATGCCATTTATTGTAAATTGATTTAACGTGAATAAGTAATAACATTAATGTTGATTCAAAACTTAGATCGGTTATTACATTTTCCAATATTCTATTGATAGTGGAATTTAGACCGAAATTTTAAAAACTTTATGACATCCTGTTGGTGATATTTGCAGATTTATGAATAATAATAAAATGAAGTATTAATGTACTTATTGTGATTTTGTTTTAATTGTTTTTAATAATTTTTATTAGTTTAATAAATAGACTGCGCCTTCAAATGATAAATTCAGTGTAATATCTTCCAATGAAATAGCACCAGTAGCGTATTACGAACAGCGACGAATACATAATTTGACGAAGTCAAAATAACAAACAACCGTTGATATGGATCTTCCATCATAAAATCTTTAACGAGTCTATCAATCTCTAAATATCCGTCTATAAACGATAATTAATAAGACTCTTCTATTCAAAACATCGCATTAGAAATGCATAATTAGTACAGTCGGCGGCGTTCTAATGAACACGTCCCGTTGCCACGGATAACGATCCAATTTACCGAGTAATTAATGCATCGACGGACGTTTATCGACCGATCGATGGTGCTGAGCTGAGGCACGGTTGCCTAGCAACGCTGCTGACGCCGCGAGCGGCTTACATAACCGTCCACCGCGCCAAGTTCGTTTGTTGCGCAAGCGGGGACGACCGTGAGTCACGGGTGCAACGACCCCGAACACTTTCTTGCAAGGCCGCGCGTCAGCGCCTCTGAGCCGAATCTACGAGCTCGGCTGGTTCAGCGTTTCCCAAACTTCTATCCCTCACGCATAGAAGCCCGGGAGGCGCGGGTATACCGGAGCTCCGTGAACAGTCCAGTATAACCTAGATCAGTGGTTCCCAAAACTTTCGAGCTTACTCGTAACGGAACGTCTTCACTTAATCCAACCCTTATAATGCAGTGCGCAATTGGTTCCACTGTCGCTATTCTGTTATTCGCTAAATAAATGTTGTACGTCGCAAAAAGGATCAATTTACGTGTACGTAAGAACCTACGAAAAATCTATTTAGCTTATGTAAGAATCGAACATATCGATTTTGGAATAAATTTACATACTTAATTATTACAACCATTCGATGGCGTCACCAATTTCAATTGGATTCAAATTGTGGAAAGTAATTTGACAAGCTTTGTTTTGCTGTTTTAAATGTATAATTTTATTTTATCAAATAGCGCTAAGTGTACATTTTATTAATTTTACGGTTATTCCCCTCATTACTTCTTATTTTTTGGGGTATAATTTAAATTGAAACCGAATAATCAGTCCTCTTCACGCAAACAATGAATGAATCGTGGTTGTAACGGCGTACAACAAAAAAAAATGACAGTTTCCGAATTTCCCTTTATCAAAACCAAAATCGAAAATAAATTTATTCACATAGACGCTTGCGCGTTCTTATGTCAAAAATTTTACATAAAAATTAATACGTTCATAAGTTACCAACATTATCCAATATTAGTCTGATGTTAATAAGTACTAATTCGTAATAAAACTGTCTTCTGTCAGTTTATCCGTTTGTGTACACTCACTGGTTCGACGAGTATAAATAAAGTCATTCGCTATTCAATATACCCTAATTTACACTTTTTTGTTATGATAACGTGAAAAATTCGTCCAATATTGAATTTGAATATATTTATGTCGCCTTAATTCTAATAATAATTCTTCGTCTTATTATGTCTTAAACATTTACGTAAAACACCAGTGCTATTATTTAGTTGCGATGTATAACAAGTTATTGATTGCTATATGCAGCCTAAGTATAGTTTAGTGTGAATTAAATTAAAATATGGATTTCAAAATGAAGACGCATGGAAAGCTCATTACAATATTGAAATTTCATAGGTTTTCTTGGAGGTGATAAATTGTTTAAGCGAAGTTCAATGTGGTTTTAAGTATTTTTAGGTCGCTTATATCATGAGTAGCTTTCGAATAGGTCAGTTCAAATAAAAGTATTTTTTCTATGTACGCGGTATTATTGATATTGAGAGTTGTGGGCATCCGCACAAGCAACTAATATAGGAGGAACACGACCAACTATCGGAACCGCCAACAGACACGCAATTTATTTATTTATTTATATAGAGCATCACAAAGCAGAATGACAACGTATTTAAATAATAATACAAAGATAATATTATAACATTCAGTTGACATTTCAAGTATGCGACGACAGCAAGTTATATAAGAAATACAAGAAAATTGATGGTATTTATTATGAAAGTGACAAAGAATAAATATTTGTGGCCACACATTGTAAAAAACTTAAAACTAATAAATATATATCTAAAATAGAATAATGGATGACAATATCATGAAGCATTTAAGGCTGTTTTCAATCTCCTTATCGTCGCCTAAAATATCCCGCTCAGGACGTTCCAGAACCAGGGAGTAAAATTTTTTTGTTAGCAATTACCGTAGACACGGCGGAAGCGCAT